AAATGGAGGCAAAAGTCAACGGCAGCGGTGGGAGAGATGACAAGGTCCTTAGGGTGAAGCACTGCAGAGTGTTGGCAGCAGTCATAAATATTATCCCTGACAGGAAGTAAGTAAATCCTGTTTACACCAATCGGAATGTTGTTTAAACTTATATTAGTTCTGTGTTTATTAATTTTTTTTTCTTCATTTACATTTCTAACAAAAATGATAAAATGATACAGGAGCAGATGTTGAAAAACTAAAACATCCATGACAGTGACCCAAAAGCAGCACAACATAAAGACCTCACATTCCCTTAAAACTACTSATGATGAGGAGGAACAGAGCTGTAGTTGTTTTGGTCAAACCTTCTGAACGTTGTTAAGCAGAGTCTGATGTGTCGTTGCAGGACCTCCTGAGATTTGTTAATGCTCACAGTATAAACTGAAGATGAAGCTCAGCAGCAGTAAAAACAGGATCACCTGAGAYGCTAACACACTGGAACTGTCCTCTGAAGGTGGTAAGTTTCAGAAAGTTAGCTTGTTCATCAGGTTGATGCACCATAGATCTTATTTTCAGTGACTGATCACTTTGTRCTGTAGACAACTGTTTATAAGTTTTGTCAGTTTAACATCAGAAAATCRTGTTTGTTGGAAGAGGAGCTATCACTTACGCTAACATTAGCTAATGAGTTAAGTGCCATTATAATAAATCACCAGGGTATAGCAGTAATCCATCCTGTCTCGTCTTCTCCCTTTGTTTTGATGACGTTGAAGCCTTGTAAWCGTTGGACTGCCACAGGATGGATTATTTTCTTACTTTTATGCACGTGAATGTCACTTTAACCCAAATTATTCTTCAATTTATTTAAGACTTGCAGCAGCCCCTCATGCTGGGGAGAGGCTGATATTCTGAGGTTTTTTTCATTAGCCGTTTGTTTAAAACACTCCTTGCAATTTAAAAAATATTATGTAATTCCATTTTTATTAAGTTTACATGTATTAATGTTAAAGTACATCTGAATAAGTTATTAGATTTGAGGTTCAAATTCATATATTTCATGGGTCAGCTTTTTAATTAGCTGTGGAAAACATGTTAAGGTAGAKACACTGAAAAATGGGGTGACATTCACAGGTGTGATGAGCAGGTGAGATGAGATGYGAACRAGAACTGGAACAGGAGKTGYGTCCACGGGAAGCATAAATGGACATCGTGACAAAAATAATCATTGACTAATCATTTAACTGTAAAACTAATTGCAGATTAGTCGAACATCAAAATAGTCATTAGTTGCAGCCCTAGTTTGGATGTGTCCAGAGGAGGGACAGTGGACATATTTGACCCATCATATCGAAATGAGGATTAAGTCAAATTTGGTCAAAATGACCTGATTACATTTTCAGATTCTTGGCTTTAAAAGCTACATTTTGATACCTGGATCATTCTGATATCATGATTAAATCCATATATATGACTTCATTTGTCTTGTTGGTTACAATAATACATAAGTATTTGGTCTAAATCCCAATTTTATGTCATTTTAATGAGGAATTTTTGATGTCCTTATAAAGATGAAACCTCAAATTATATTTGAATATTGAGATTTCCCAGCTAAGAAAAAAAAAAAAACTTTGCTAGCTCACAGGGAAAATCTCAAAATTTTAAGGCATTTTTCCTCAAAATCAGTTTTTTTTGTTGCTACTGCTAAAAAATGCTTCAAAAAATTTGTTTTATGATTATATTTCAGACAGTTCATTCAAATGATACATTGATAAGGCATTTATTCATTACATTTTGACAAAATGCAATTTTTGTTAAYATTTTAGTCAAAACACTATATTTGCCTATTTCTCCAAATACAACTTTTGGACTTAATCCTCGTTTCGATGTGATGGGTCACATATTGGGTTGGACGTATCCAGAGGAGGGACAGTGGGGATGTTAGAGATGAAGAGGAGATATGTAGTTGTAGTTAAAGAAGACATGGAGGTATTTGGAGTGAGGACAGAGGAAATGGATAACTACAGGGAGGAAGWAAACATTTTTCAGTAAACTGCAGCTTCWTGATTAGCAAACTACCAAATTCATGCTCTCACTGTAAACCTGTTGTTTCTACAGCAAACATCCAGACACGAGCCTCTGACTCACTGCTTTCTGTTCCTTTGTCACTGCAGAGGCTCAGGTTTTTAATGTGCGCAGGTTTCTGTTGTCACACCACAGAAGGAAGTGACAGGTTGGTCTGACTCATATTCAGCGCAGAGGTGCGCAAAGAAARGCTTACTTGAAATATACTGAAATTCTAATAGTATTTTTAAAATGCTAATAAAAGTTTGCATGAATCAACTTTAAGTCTGTAATTATTACTGTCTAAATAAAGAACAAGGCAGGAGCATGCAAGTAAAACCAGCTTCAATACAAACTGTAAACACCAAACTAAATGTTTCCTTTTCCGTGTCTGTCTACATCCCTAAAGCTGAGTCATCTGTGGGGCACATGTTATCATTCATCAGTGACCGAAGTGATGCTGCAAATGAAGGTTTGTGATTGAGAAACTAAGTTCTGTAGCACAAATCAAACATGGACTCACTTAGTGTTGCAGTTACATCTGACAACCCCCGAGATGTGAGTTAGGTTAGGGGTGGGGCTATAACATTGTTTTCATCGTTTTTTTTTTCCCCACAAAAAAAAAAAATGCAGTTTCAGTCTCTGAAAATGCCATTTCTGTGCAGAAGCAAGTCTGAAATGTTAAAAAACCATTTACACATTCCTGTATGGACAACCTCTAAAAAGGACAAGCAGGTAGAAGCTCAGTCTATAAAGTATGTCTCAGATAATTGGCTTCTGTGCAACAAGAGCTGATGTCCCCTGTCACTGTTTGTAGTTTTGGAGTGTTTTTCTGGATGGAATTGAACAGGGAATGCAAGTAAACCTTTWTGTTTTTGGTATTTAAGATATTCAATGGCTGTGTTTATTTATTTAATGCATAAAGAAATGCTCATGCAGCACGGTGGCTCAGAGGGTATAGCTGTTGTCTCTCAGCAAGAAGGTTGCTGGATCGAATCCAGGCCGGAGACCTTTMTGGGTAGAGATTGCGTGTTCTCTCCGTGCATGTGTGGGTTTTCTCCAGGTATCCTCCCACAGACAAAAAAGTTAGGTTATTTGGTAACTCTAAATTGATAAATGATAATGTATAGATGGAAAGCTCATGTTACTCTATGACAGCGTGTGGGGGAGTAGGCGGAGCTTAAAGCAACAAATCACACTGAGATCACAAATCTCTTTTTCAAAGGAGGCTTGGGCCTGAAGGCAACCTATTGTACATGATTTTGTGCTGTGGGGAAACCTAAGAGCCTGGAGAAAACCCATGCAAGCACAAGGAGAATATGCCAACTCCACACAGAAAGACCTCGGGTCCAAACCGGGGATCAAACCCAGGACCTTTTTGCTGTGAGGCGTCAGTCCATTGTGCTTGTTTTTAGCCAGAGCTCTCACTTCTTCAGCTCTCCTTCTTCAGTGGTGAAAAGTGCCTGACAGCCAGTAAGGAGGATACGTGTTTATAATAAAAAAAAAGCAGATTACATTCTTTTACAACCCGAATGATTGAGATGATTTAGTTCAAACGATTTCTTCAGGTCTGTGGTTCCATGGTTTGGTTTTCTTGTGTCGCTTCCTGTTTAGTTTCTGCATTCCCTGTCACCTTTAAGTGACAGGGAACACAGAAACTCTCCCCGTCTGCTTGCCACGCCCACCCTCACCTGTTCCAGTCTCCCCGCCAGGTGTTTGTGATGATGTTCATTTAGTTCTGCTTTTTATTCTGGGTTTTTCTGTTGGCTCCTCAGCAGATCATTAAACTGGCTCATGCTATACGTCTCTGTCTCTGTGTTTCCAACAAGGTTTTTGTGTAAGTTTTTCCACCATGTCAGCTTTTGCCTTTTTTTTTTTGTTTTAATAAACACATTTTCTAGTGCTGGGCAAATGAATCTTTTCTGAAGCACTGAAGCTTGCTTTGAAAAGGGGTTCATCATTTCAACCTTTTCATCACAATCCTTTTTGGCACCATCTTGTGGCTAAACATATGAAACATTATGACGGAGTTGACGGCTGTTTAACACCACGATATCAGGTTTTCATTGTGTTGCTTTGAACCGACGTTGTTTTGTGGGTGAAAGTATAAAGTTATGGTTGTTTATGGTTCATTATGATAAATAAACTTTACAAATGTGCTATGGCCTCTGTGACTTACTGACATTTGTAAAAAAAATACAGATGGAATGACAATTGTGCTGCCAGTTCTCCACCTCCACGACTTTTTAACCAGTTTGTTTCCTGTAAGATCCTATTGTAGTGAAAAAATGGCTTTGATTTGATTGATTCAGGTATAAATACACTTGTAGTATTTGGAGATATATAAATTTGCTAAATATTGTAACATCTTCCATCTGCTCTTATTCCCCACCCCTGATAGAAAGTACCATCATATAAATGTGACGTAGTTGTGACATAGCTGGGGTTCTGTTTGTTTTCTGGATCTCTGTGAAACAGATAAAACCTAATAAAAGGTTTTTTTTCAGTGAGACAGAAAGCCACATTTAAAGAGTGAACGTCATGAAAGTCTGGCTGATTCCAAAACTGCTTTCATTGCCAGGGTAAATGAGACGTCTAAATACTCTAAATGGACCTGTAAAATCTCAGTAACATTTCCATGCTGGCTCTGAATGAGCTCCTGACTGACTTATCTCCCAGAAGTCATGTGTTAGGAGGAGCCACGACTCGAAGGGCTGACTCTCTTCCTGAGACAGAGCTGTATATCCTGTTCTTAAAATACCACAGCAGGCTTTCCAACTCTCATAAAGACTGTGTTACGGCTACAGTAGCAGCACAGTTAGAGGTGTTTAACTATCACTGCCCTGGTTAATGTTATTGTTAGAGTCCACCAAAGTGAACTGTAGAGAACACCTAAGAAGACGATGAGAGAAAATGTTGCGAGGCTTTTCTATTTTAAAACACGTTGAGGAGCTTACCTGTACAATCTCCAGCATCTCAGCTTTACTGATGTACCCGTTCCCGTCCAGGTCGTACATACTGAAGGCCCATTTCAGCTTCTGCTCCAGCTTGCCGCGTGACGTCACACTTAAAGCGATGATGAACTCCCGGAAATCTATCGTCCCATCGCCATTGGCGTCAAAAGTGCGAAAGACGTGTTCAGCAAATTTGGAGGCGTCTCCGTACGGGAAGAAGTTGCCGTAGATTTTCTTGAACTCCTCCATAGAGAGGTTGCCGCTGGGGCAGTCCCTCAGGAAGCCCTTGTACCACTCCTGGATCTCGTGTTCGGTGAAGTCGGTGCTCTCCAGCAGGTCCTGCATCACCTCCGGACGCAGCTTGCTGTTCTGCTTCCCCATGTCTGTTTGTCCTGAAGGTCGCTCAGCTCACAACTGGGAGGCAGAAAGCAGACAGGAGCTGGGATTAGGAAAGAATTTACACAATAAAAACATATCTCATCAGTTTCACAAATACAACTGAAACCTTTTCTTTTCACGGTGTCTCAGGACTGTCACGTCCAGAGGAACATTTTTCTATGTGTTTAAAGACAAACATGACTTTTTATTGTCTGCCACCAGGATATGTCACAAACCACAAGATAATAATGAAAAAACCTGCAGARTAAAACGTCTACAACTCATCAGCATTATCCAACACAGAAATGACAGTGACTTTCCATACATGGAGCTCAGAATGGTTGTGGCACTCACTCTGAGTTTAACATCTTGTGACACAGCAYGAGATTGAGCACAACATTGTTTTCAAAGTATAACCAAATAACCATCCTTTATCAGAATATCTGGCATGAATGCTTCTTTGAGGAATGCTAGCTCTTTAATTTAATACTCTGTCAATGTGGGAGAGCCCCGAGTACTTTCCATTCAGAAAGCCTGTAGATGCTCTCAGCCTGATCTTCAGMTCAGTTTGTAGCTTTTACCACAAATTTTAATGTTGGACAGCCAAAACTCAAAGATCTGCTCATGGGAGGATTTGTAATTAAAATATTCTACAAAGTGCAAAAGCATCCGTAAAGACGTAAAATTATGTATATTTTTTTGTTTTTCTGTGTTCAGTGGGATTAAAAATAATTATTTTTTGTTGTTTTTCTGCTTCAATTTTGATGACTGGAATGAAACAAAAAATCGAATTCATTTAACCTTAATTGGGGTTAAAATGACTCGTTCTCTATATAAAAATAAACTAATGGAACTTTCCATGGAAAAGCWGATCTGTGTACTCTGAGTAAACAACACCATATGCCTGACATGGGTCGAGTAACTCTGTAAAATCTCTGCACACACTATAAACTAGATTCAGATGCACAGAAAAGTGGGACATGGTGCTGAAAGATACTGTATGTGAAATGAGCTGTTTAAACAGCATTGTTCACATTAATAAACTGTTGAGAAGCTAGATTATAAACTAGATACTGGATTGCGATGTCTCGGTTTCGGATGGAGGACGGTTGGAAACTGGCGTGTATCGTAAGCCCACCCACACAGACCAATATTTGCGTTTTGACTCCCACCACCCACTGGAACACAAGTTAGGAGTGATCAGGACTCTGTACCACAGAGCAGACAGTGTCCCTACAAACCCAGGAGCCAGGGAGAAAGAGAAATCACACACATGACAGGCCCTGAAGCAGTGTGGTTATCCTGACTGGGCTTTCCTGAAAGCAGACAGGAAACACAGACAGGAYTCCATGCAACCTTCAGGTGAAAATGAAGACCCCAAACCCAGACCCAAACCAGTGGTTATTCCGTATGTTGYGGGTGTTTCGGAGAAACTGAGACGTTTATTTTCTAAACATGATGTCCCAGTGGCTTTCAAACCCCAAAACACATTACGGCAAAGGCTGGTTCACCCCAAAGATCCGGTGCCCCGGCACAAACAGAGCAATRTTGTATATGCTGTTAAGTGCCAGGAGGACTGCGACCAGTTATACATCGGGGAAACAAAGCARCCACTGTTCAAAAGAATGTCCCAACACAGACGAGCTACATCTAATGGCCAGAACTCTGCAGTTTTCACTCATTTACAGGCCAGCGGTCACTCTTTCAGAGATGAGGATGTACTCATTCTTGATAAAGAGGAACGTTGGTTTGAGAGAGGAGTAAAAGAAGCCATTTTTGTGAAGAAAGACCGTCCATCATTAAACAGAGGTGGAGGCCTCCGTTTTCAGTTGTCCCCCTCCTACAGTGCGGCTATTGCCAGTATCACTCCACCCCTTGTTAACAATAGGTGTTAATTAGGTGTCAACGATAGCCATGTGATGTGAGTATCAGTCACATGGAAGCAGGGCTTAAAAGCCTGAATTTTGCCTGAAACTCTCAGACTGAAGAAGTCTMTTGGAGGAGAGACGAAAYGTTTCATTARAGAAGAACCCGTCCAGAAGACCTATACAATTTTTTTCTTGTTGAGAAACTATTTCTWCACACTCTTTCTGAAACTGGACAGTTTTTCTGTTTGCCATATATCTTCATGGACCACATTGAGGTTCACAACCCCCATTTTAACTGTTTGCAGATTTACACATTCCTGTTACATGAGAATGTTTTATTTACTTAAAATAATCATAAACTCGCAACATTAGCCTCTAGACTTTAAGCTATGGAACAGACCCTTTCAATCAGAAAAAACAGAGATCACAAAAGTGAGAGAGAATTCACACTTAATCCTGCTGCTTCCACTGGGTTAAAATGACCTTCGAGGTCTCAGTTTAAATTGTTGTGGGTCATTTTGACCCGAGGGCAGCAGGAGGGTTAAGGTAGCATCTCAGTGACCTGCAACTATTGGTGACTAGTTAGTGAGTCTCCAATGTCTCAAAATRTTCTCAGGTTAAAAACAGACCCTGAAGCATGGAAGGATATTACAGGTTTTCTGAACTGCTAAAACACTGAACCCTGTTGTCTGAACCAAATGATCAGAGCCCCTTTTATTGAAATGGCCACCCTTKTGACAGAACCTTAAGGACTTTTCACCCAGTAAGACAACTATTTTCACMCACTAAACATTTCACACTGTGATTCACATGGGTTCCACAATGATAAGCAAAAGTGAGACACAAATAAAGCACTGCTGTCTGAACTGAAACACAGCAACTCAAAAATGATCACACATGTAGCTGATGATTCATTATGGATAGAAACATTTTTGCACTTTTATTGTTGTAATGGATTTCTAAAAGAGGAAGCACAGAAGTTATGGAGAGTCAAAGCGTTASCGGTCCATGTGGTCACTGGAACACTTGGTGCTGTGATCCCCAAACTAGGAGTGCCTTCAACAGATCCAAGGATCAACCTCAAAGATCTTTGTCTAGAAGAGCTCAGTTGTAGGAACAGCTAAACAGAACCCTCAAACTCAGACCTCTGGTAGAGGACCAGAGTTCTCAGGAGTTTTGTTTTAGACATTATTTTTTTTTTTGGACAATAAAGCCTATTTCAAAAGCTTCATGATCTGATTATTGTTTTCTTTTTCCCCATGTTGTGTGTAATGACTGCTCAGTAGTGTTTTCATTTTGATGGACTCAAGGTCTGATCTGACAACAGTTTCGTTTTGAGCACAGTTTGTACTTTAGTGAGGCTAGAGTTTGGTTTTGGAGGAAGGTTCTGTGAAAGTAGTAGTAGAAATTTGGGTTTTGTGTTTACAGTTCAGATAAGTGGATGGATGGTTTCAAGAAATGTGTGTTAGCAATTGAGAAAAACTGTATCCTGTACTACTGTCTCATATGGTATCAATATTCTAAAAAAGTTTTATACATAAAGCAAGTGGAGCATCACAGAGAAAGCTGTAAAGCTCTTCTTGTGAAAGCAAAACTGTTGGGCCTCATCTTGGAACCCAGACAACAATTCTGAGTTCCACACTGCCGAAAAGGACAAAGWGAAAAAAATAAAAGATTATGATGTAACAAATACACATACATGTCAAGTTGAACACATTGTCTGTACATTACCGTACATGGATTGTCCCCTATTTTGCAGGTATACAGACGTATAGGGCAATTTCACAGATTTTTTTCAAATGTCACTAATTTTATCAAAAACAAAGCTACAAATGTATCAATATATCACCCCAAATTACGGAAAATTGCAGATTTTTGAGGGTCAAGATAGCTAAATGTCTGAAGGAGTTGGCAAGGGGCCTCTCCACTGTTCAAAGTACTATTGGGTAAAATCATATYGTGTGCAATTAATCGTCGGAAAAACTATAATCAATTATTTTTTGGCAGTTGACGATTAATAAGATTAAAGCCACCAGGCAGACTGGAGATTTCCTCGGTCAGTCCACTTGGTGCTCCTCTCCGCTTCAAATTTGACGAACATTTTTTAAAAAAAGTTCTTTAACTTATTTATCATAACTCTGGTTTTACTTGGTCTATTAAAACAATTTAAAAATTGATGTATAGCCTGAAGTCTGAACTTTTGACACAATTTGGAACAGATTTTTATGGAGAGCAAATCTTTCATACACTGAAAAAAATAACTTGTAAGATATACTTGAAAAAAATCCTCTAAAAAATTTGCACTAACGTTTGTTAAAGGAGACCAATTATGGGTCCTAGAAAATTTCATGGTACGTCTGTGGGCTATCCAGACCATGTTCATTCATAATTCTCAGAGAATAAAATTTCCCATTTTCTAGTTC